TTAAGGGGGCTCCTTCACGAAAGTCCCCAAACAGAGATATATTATTTCTTGTAAATAAAAGTCTACTGAATTTAATGGTGGTCTAAATTATATTTCGAATGGGTCAAAATTTTGAGAAATCCAAGCTCAAAGTTGTAACTATTAGCACGTGTTCCAATGGGGCAGCGTGAAAAACAATTTGTTTTCGTTTATAGTAAACCTAAATTTAATGTCCCAGCAGACTGAATACATTTGTTTTGTAGATGAAGTCTTCCTTTGTAATATGCTGTATTAAAAATTGTGGATAAAGGACCATTTTAGCAAGACATTTGTGATGGAAAAAAGAAAGTAGTGTCCGGGAGGTCAGGAGGTCACGTGGATAGCAGACGTACTTGTTCACGACATACATATACCATATACCTATATATTACATCGCTATACTACACCAACACAGGTGGTCTGGTCTGGTGGTGTACCCTCGTATGCACTAGACTGGTCAAAACAATAATTAATTTTTCGTACAAAGTTAAACTACACACATAAATATCATTTTTCCCACTTCATACGTTTTTAAAAATATCATAATGATTTTCAGACACATTTGTTTATTGAAAAACAAAACTTTATTTTTTGTTTGTCTTTGACCTCAGCAGTAGTCGTAAGAGCCCCCTTAAGGCTTGAGCAGACGTCGCTGAAGAACACATGAGAGAATGGTTTGCAGAGGTTCAAGTATTTTTAAAGGAAAAAAAATTGGAAAATTTAAAACCTTCTCAAATATTTAATGGTGATGAAACTAGTGTAGAGTTATGTCCTAAAGCCAAACAAGTCATCACTAAAGTAGGCTCCAAAACAGTTTACAAACAAGTTGATGGTGATGAGAAGGGTAATTTTACAACTTTTTTTATGTATAATGCTGATGGTGTTTGTGCCCCTCCTATGGTGATGTATAAATATAAAGATGGTATTCCAGAGAAAGTTTTAAAAAATTGTCCTCAAGGTTGGGGATTAGGAAATTCTGATAACGGTTGGCAAACAGCAAAAACTTTTTATGAGTATTTTTGTTCGGCTCGTTTCCCGCGATCAACGTTTGACAAGATGACGGCACGCGCGCTTCGTTCTGCGCGCGTACTGCTCCTGTGGAGCTGCCGAGCCGCGCGCGGGCTGACACGCTGACGATCGAGCACAGAAGGAAAAAAGAGCTGAGGGAGATCAGATCGACTGAAGTGATATAATTGTCTGCAACTCTGTACTAGGCGCTAAGTCACATACAATAAAGATTTTCAAAACTGAACATTGGTCCTTCGAGCCGAATTCCAAACGAATATGAAACAAACAGCAACCAAGGAGATCATTGAGCATACAACATAATGTGAGTATACTATTACTGATGTCAAAGTGTTGGTTGTATTAAGCCATCGCGGCCGCCATCGTGCCCGCGGTCCGGCTTGAGTTGCCTGGTCATGGCCACGACAAGGTCGTGCCGCCATTAACGCGTGCCTCACGAGCATCCGCGTCACAAGTTGAATACAAGGCTGCCACGGCCACCACATAGCCCGTGGTCCAGCGCTTGTCATACATACGGCCACGGCAGACATGAAGCCGTGCCGCTGGTAGTGGTTATTTCGTCGGTAGTGGCGGCCACATTGCCTTCCTTACGGGTGTACCTATACCTTGTCATGACTAGAGCAAACACAATACCGGCGGTTTATCAAGGTTAGCATTTAACCTCTCTTTTTCAATGCATGATGCACGCAAGCGTCTACGCGCCCGCATGGACATGTGGGTGCGTATGTGCGTGTGTGCGTGTGTGTGTACATAAGGTGTGAGTCTCTCTCTTTCTCGCTCTCTCTTCTTCTCCCCGTTGTATAACCGCACACATACGTGTTAATTTGTGGAAGTGAGGACAAAGCCAGGCTTGGCCTGACGGCAATAGCAGCTTCGTGCAACCGTCAAGCTCATGATTGCTCTTTCAGGTGCGTCAAAGGCTGGGCTAACCTATTTGGCGCCCAACGCGCTCTGGCAGACGTCATCGCTCGTTTCGCACTGGCCGTCACGCAAACTGAGCCCTCGGCCTGGACCACCGGCCTCAAAGTGAGGCTTGAGTTGCTGGATGGCTACTGGAGCGACTTTCAGGCCAATCATCTGAGGCTCATCGAGACGCCTCCTCCCGAGAAGCAGGAGTCACTAACCCAAATGTACTCGACATCGGAGGCTGAGTACATAGAGTCACGCGCCCACCTCTACAACGCGAGGAGCACCCTCGCAACACCCCCTGGCAACAGTGGAGCGGGCCCAGGGCGCGCTACATCGAGTTGTGGACCCCGCCTGCCCCAAACTAGTATTCCCGCCTTCTCCGGGAAAAGAGAAGACTGGGAGAGCTTCCGGGATCTCTTTCGAGCGCTAGTGTTTGATGATCAACAGCTCACCGATGTCGAGCGACTGTTTGACTTAAAGTATCTCGTGGAGGGAGATGCCAAAACAGCCCTCGATGCGATCCAGATCGTGGGTGCCAACTACTCGACCGCTTGGGCCGCGCTCGAGGCACAAAACGGCCGAAGGCCGACCCCGTCGGTGCAACCCGTGCCGATGATCTGGGCCCGTCGCCCTCTTCCTGACTCGCCGTGCTACCGACCGCTCTCGTCCAGCTGAGTGGGCCGTCCGGCCGGCGCGCGACAGTCCGAGCCCTCCTCGATGCGTGCTCCGAGGTCACGATCGTCTCTGCGAACCTGGCGCGACAGCTCAACGCCACGCTGGAGCACACCAATGCAAACATTTCCGGAGTAGGAGGTGAGTTGGTCGTCCAGTCGAGAACTCGGGCCCATCTGCACATCGACCCGGGCAGAGATGCGCCGCCGATCACCATGGCGGCACTCTGCTTACCTCAGCTCGGGCTCGTATCGCCGTCCGCTCCTCTGCACCCATCCGTGGCCGAGCAGTGGCTTGATCTTCAGCCTCTGGCCGACCCCGCATTCGGTACACTTAGTCGTGTGGACCTGCTCCTCGGTGCCGACGTCTACAGCCGCATATTGAGGGCGGAATAAGTTCGGCGGGGCGACATTATCGGTCAGCACACGATCTTCGGCTGGACCCTCGTCGGCCGTGCTCCTGGCCTGCAGCCGGCAGCTTTTACTGTTGGCTCAACACTGCACATGGACGGAGCAACGTCTTGGCATCGCGAGCTGGCTGCGCTGCTGCAGCGCTTTTGGGAGCTCGAGGAAGTATCGCAAGTCAGCCGCCGCGCTCCAGAGGACATTGAGTGCGAGCGCATTTTCCTCGATCACCATCGTATTTCGGATGGCCGCTATGTCGTTCGTTTGCCATTGAAGAGCGACAGTGCACGGCTGCTCGGCAACAGTCTGCAGAGTGCCACGGCTGCCCTTTACTCGTTGCATCGTCGCCTCCAGCGGATCCCAGCGATGGGTGCTGAGTATGTGCAATTTATGGCAGAGTACATCGATCTGGGCCACATGAGGCCACTGCCTGACGATCTGCGCATGGCATCGCCCCGACCAGTGCACTATATCCAACATTACGGCATCTCGCAGAGCAGCGATAAGGGCCGCAGGCTTCGCGTCGTGTTCAACGCCTCGAAGCCCACATCGAGCGGCTACAGCCTAAACGACGTCCTCTTCGCGGGCCCTAGGCTGCAGACCGTGCTCCCCAGCGTGCTCCTACGCTGGCGATGGCACCGAATCGCCGTCTGCAACGACGTCCGCATGATGTTTCGTCAGATCTGGATTGACAAGCGTGACGTCGACCTACAGCGTATCTTGTGGAGCCCTGATCCAAACCAACTGCCCACGCACTACCAGCTGTTAACAGTCACCTACGGCGCTTCGTGTTCACCGTACCTCTCTTTGCGCACTGTGCAGCAGCTGTGTGAGGACGAAGGACACCGTTGGCCAAAGGCAGTTCCCGTGGTGATGAACGACCGCTACGTCGACGATATACTCTCCGGTGCCAACGACATCGCCACGGCTCGACATATTCGTGACCAGCTAATCGAACTTCTGCAAGCCGGCGGGTTTCCTCTGCGCAAGTGGGTAGCCAATGTGCCCGAGCTGCTGGACGACCTCGCCGACGACGTGCGCCTGCGGTCCACTTGGTGTCAGCTTGGCGCCGAAGGTCTCGTTAGTGAGCTCGGACCCACCGTCAGATTGCTTTCTGCTAATACCTCCCCTCATACAGCACCAAACCACCAAGAAGACCATGCTTGCAGCGCTCGCGGGCCTGTTTGATCCATGCGGTTGGCTTGCGCCGATCGTGCTGAACGCCAAACTCCTACTGCAAGACTTATGGCGAGCCAACCTGGACTGGGACGAGTCTGCTCCGTCGTCCATGATTCAAAGGTGGATTGCCTTTACCGTCGAGCTCCAAGCCATCTCCGGTCTATCCCTGCCTCGTTGGATCGGAACGGTCGCGTCAGCGAACATTCACCTGCACGTATTTTCCGATGCCAGCCGCCGCGCGATGGCTGCAGTCCTGTACTCTAGACTCCAGGCCACGGACGGTTCTGTCCGCTGCCACATTCTCCTCGCTCGCACGAAGCTGGCGCCCATCCGCACTCTTAAGCCAATGGCCGAGCCCGTGGCCCGGATGACGATTCCTCGCTTGGAGCTCCGCGCCGCCCTGCTGGCTGCTAAGCTTCTGCGCTCGACGGCCGAAGAACTAGCAGTTCCGATTGAGCGCTGTCACGCCTGGTGCGACTCGCAAATTGTGCTGCACTGGGTTCGCTCCGATCAGCTATCCAACAACGCCCTCGTCGACAACTACGTGGCCCAGATACAGGACACGCTACCCTCGACCGCCTGGCGGTACGTGCCGTCGCAGTCCAATCCAGCCGACGTGGCCACTCGAAGCGCGGACATATCCGGTCTCAGACAAAAACTCCTGTGGTGGGACGTTCCGCCGTGGCTCGCAGACAGCGATCGAGCCTGGCCCCAGGAAGCACTTCAAGAGGTGACACCCCTGCCGTTGGCCTGCTACGCCACCTGTCTGGCTGATCCGAGCATACTTGAACGATATTCCAAGCTTCACACTCTACTCGTCGTTCTCGTGCGCACTCGTCGGTGAGTCTGGCGCCAGTTGCGTCGCCCACCTGTCCTGCTGGAGCTCTCACCACTGACCCCCACCGAGCTTCAAGATGCCTTCCTGGCCTGCGTCCGTTTGAGCCAATCGGAAACGTTCGGCGAAGATCGCGCGCGTTTGCAGAACGGCGAGCGATTGCCAAAAAGGAACCCTTTGACTTCTCTTGCGGCTTTCCTCGACACCAACGGCGTTCTGCGCGTCGGCGGGCGGCTGGGTTTCTCCTCGCTACCTTACGAAGAGCGGCATCCACCGATCCTTAGTGGAGCCTCATTGCTTGCCTTGCTGGTCCTTTCTTGGGCCCATACTCGAGCTCTTCACGGCGGATACAGGGTACTAGCGCCTACGCGGCTAAGCGTGCATGGATTCTCGGTGGCCCACGCAGAATCAAGGCTCAATTGCGGCGGTGCGTCGTATGCTCCCGACTCCAGGCTCGCTCCGCGACCCAAATGATGGCCCCCTTACCAGCTTCACGAGTCACACCTTCCCGCGCTTTTAGCCGCACGGGTGTCGACTACGCAGGGCCTTTTTCAGTACTGGCGTCAAAAGGATGAGGCATACGCACTACGAAGGGTTACATCGCCGTCTTCGTGTGCATGACGACAAAGGCCCTACACCTCGAGCTCGTCGGTGATCTCTCCACAGCCGCCTTCTTGGGCGCTCTCGCTCGGTTCACCGGTCGTCGCGGTTGACCCTCTGAACTCTGGAGCGACAATGCCACTTGCTTTCGCCGCGCTGATCTGGAGCTGCCCGAGGCGTTACAAATAGCGGAGATCGACTGGGACCTCGTTGCCGGCTCTCTCGCTACGCAAGGTATCGCTTGGCACTTCATCCCCCCTGGAGCTCCACATTCCGGCGGACTCTTGGAAGCCGCCGTCAAGTCAGTCAAAGGCCACCTTCAACGCGTAATGGGCTCCCGTCACCTGACCTACGAGGAATTCTCCACCGTACTAGTTGGGATTGAGATGGTGCTCAACGGAAGGCCCTTGACACCGCTCTCCAGCGACCCTTCCGACCTCAAGGTACTTACACCAGGCCACTTCCTTGTTGGAGCCCCACTCGATTCCATCATCCAGCCTAGGCCTCCCACTGAGAACTTGGACGCTCTCTCACATTGGGACCTCGTGAGAGCCATTCGGGCTCAGTTCTGGTCACGCTGGAGCCGAGAGTACCTTAATACACTCCAGCAGAGGCCGAAGTGGACCGTTGCTCGCCGAACTTTTGCCGTCGGTGACTTCGTCATCCTACTGGACGCCATCCTCCTCCAATCGAGCGGTCGTTGGCCGCTAGGTCGCATCATTCGCGCCCAGCCTGGTCCTGATGGATTGGTGCGAGCGGTCACCGTAAAGACAGCGACTGGCGAGTACGTGCGACCGGTTGTCAAACTGGTCCTGCTTCCCGTAGCGAACCCTGGTCCACCAACGCCACCCCCTGATGGTCAAGAAGGCCGACCCGCCTTGGCGGGCGGCGACTAGTATGTCGCTCCAGGAGCGATGCGGGCGGACTGTTCAGCTCGTTTCCCGCGATCAACGTCCGACAAGATGACGGCACGCACGCCCTCCTTCGTTCTGCGCGCGTACTGCTCTTGCGGAGCTGCCGAGCCGTGCGCGGGCTGACACGCTGACGATCAAGCACAGAAGGAAAAAAGAGCTGAGGGAGATCAGATCGACTAAAGTGATATAATTGTCTGCAACTCTGTACTAGGTGCTAAGTCACATACAATAAAGATTTTCAAAACTGAATAATATTGTCAATATATTTTATCCTTGGGTGATTGACAGTAAAATTGAATTTCCTGTTTTAATGTATTTAGATGGACATTCATCTCATGCAACTATCCCCTCAATCAAATTTTGTAGAGAAAACAAAATTGAGATAGTCACCTTATACCCTCACTCAACTCATATATCTCAGCCACTTGATGTCGCTTTTTTTGCTCCATTTAAAGCAACTTGGGCAAAAACTGTTAACAAATGGAAAATAAATAATAATATAAGCCGATGAAGAAAAGAACACTGTCCTAATATGATTGCAGAAACTCTTAATAATATGAGAGACGAAGCTGCTATTGTTAGGAGTGGTTTTAAATGTACAGGACTGTATTCATTTGACCCAAATGCAATTGATTACAACATATTTAGTAAAAAAAAGAAGACAAAATTTTCTGCCAATATAAGTCCTACACAAAATAGTGGATTATTAGAATTATTTGAGAAATCACTGGATCAGAATTTATTAAATGAATTCAAAGAAGCAGAAGCAAGAAGATTTTGGAGAGGGGAAAAAAAATTTGAAGGAATGTTTGAGTATTGGATAAAATTAAAAGGAAAAGAAGTAGTAAGTTGTGGAAGTGAAAATAAAGACAATCAAAAATCAGTTTCTACACAGTCAGAAGCAGCTCCTCGTATTTTATTTTTATCTTAAAAAATTAAAAACTACACAATGGTTAGAAAGGGGGACAAGACAGTTTTTTAAAAGTTTTTCAAAGTTTTCAATCATTTTTTTTATCGTTTATTTTTAAACAATAATGAATTTAATTTTTCATGATTATTTTTGATACTTGAAGTTTTTTGGAAGACAGATTATTAGTTTCTTTTTTTTTTTTTT